ATATTACTAATTTGATTTGCATACTGGTGAACAGTTAGTTTTGGTGAGTCTCGCAGTGAAGAGTTCTGCAGATGATTTATCTGTTAGTTGCTTGTAGTATGGGTGAGCACTTTCTTTCTTGGAAGAACTCCTTGTTCTTGTAAGTTGAAGGGGGAATGATATAAGTCATCTTACCACACAACTTTTTTATTGCAAAGTTATTATTATACTACATTCTCTGATTCTGTAAGAAGGGATCCTACCCAGAAACTTATTTTAAAGAGAGAGAGAAAGAAAGACGGAAGAATCTCAACCTTCCCTACCTGGTGTCTCTTAGATGCGTTAAACTTCAACTTTAATCATGACTCTGCTGAATTAAGGATAAGGCCTAATGAGGGAGATGGGGGTGGGCGGGTTAGAAATATGACACACCAACAAACAAATAAAAGGAAGGGGTATTAGTTTATCACAGAACATGTAAACAATGTGGGATAACACCAGTGGTGAGTTCCTAACCAGTTTACTACTGGTTCGCTGAGGGCGTTTTGCGTGTGCGTTGCTATGCATGCGGTTGACTGAAAACTATTTTGTGCATGTGCAGAAACATGCCAGTGACGGCATAAGATACTGGGGAACTGGTTGGGGCATGGCAGGCCTGCGTTGCTGTCGGTTCCAGCAACCCAGGCTGCCATATCACTAATGGTTTGGCTGAACCGGTACGAACCCACCACTAGATAACACATAATGAAGAAGTAGTAAAACCTGTATATCTTCTGCCTTATTGCTCTGCATTCACAACTGGGAAAAGGAAAAGAGCACATGTGCTACCTAATAACTCTTAAGATTGTTAGAGTAATGGTTAAAGTGTAATTCATATCACAGATGAAAAATAAAAAGAATTTGGCTTTTTTCTTATTCATTTAGACTAGAGATCTTCATAGAAAGGAATGCAATTTATTATCACTCTCATACATACCATTACAGTGATTTGATTTGCCAGCATCATTTTAATATTATACACAGATGTTACTTGAATTGACAAGATTACACAATCCCAAATTCCCTGCATTTCCCTTTCTTTTCAAGCTAACATCCAAAATGCAGTTTTTCTCCATGTTTCAGGGATTGAGCCAAAACTATAGGGCAATCTTTATGTAATGTAACAGTAGTACCAGAGCAAAACAGCCTTTTTATTTTTTATCTTGGAGATGAAAATAATTATACCACTGCTTATCATGAATAATATCAAAGAGAGCCATGCTAAACATTCAAAAGAGTTGCTTTACAACAAGCATTCAGGCAAAAACCTTTTTTCTATTAAAACAGCCACATCCTTTTGAAGATTGAATTTTTTTTTCCAGTTGTCTGTACATTTGTGTATGCACACTCCTGCTGGACCACCAGTGACGCACAAAGCTATGCAAATACATGTATGGAGACAACTTTTGAAACAGCCATGACAGTTGTGTGAAAAAACTTTTACTGTACAGAGTTGTTATTCTAATATGTTTTATGAATCATGATTGTTTTCACTAACACTAATCACCTCCAGTCTTAAATGCAATGTTGAGTGATTGCAACTTCCTGCTGGCTTTCCCATTGACTTGCTACTTGGAAACCGACAGTGAAGGTTGTAAATAATTCACGTGACCATGGGATACCCCAACTCTCATAACTGTGCACTGTTGCCAAATGCCCAACTGGTAATTACAGGACTGCAGGCATGCTATAACGGCCACAACTTCAAGGACTGGCTGTAAATCACCCTTTTCAACATTGTTTAGTTCCTAATGGTCACTGGAAAATGGTCAGTAAATGAGGACTACCTATATATTATGCTGTTGAGGGCCTTTTTATTGAACAATAAATGTAAGTAAATATATTTTGAGAAAAAGAAGGGTGCAAGAGAAAACATGCTAATAAAAACAATAGGCACTCCAAACAATAATTTTGTAAGGATCAGGACAAAAGCTTCCCTTGGTTCCTCTGTAATAGAAACAGGAACAGTCATGTTGATAGTTAACCTCATATGAGGTTAGCTGGACAGGTAGAGGCTATGAAACTGGTTGTATCAGTCTATAAGCCCAGTTTATGCTTCCTCTCATATCATAATGTAGCTTCTGGTTTTGCACCTTATCAGTCTAAATACTGCTAAATTACTTCCACTCATTTGTGGAGGTATATTGAGAGAAACATCCTATTGAGACATCAGCAACTGACATCAACTTGTAAAGAGCTCAGTCTAAACCATATCGTTTGCCATGATGCAGTGAAGAGAAAAACGGCCGTCACTTAGTGGTATTACTTAACCTAAGCTTTAGGAAATGCTCTACTTTCACCTCAGTACACACTGTATAGAGTTAAAGCAGCTGGAACTATATGAGTTTATTTTTATCAGCCTCTTAACATAAGGATGATTGACCAATTGAAAGTAATCAGAGATCAAAAGCTGAAATAACAAGAGAAAGAAACAACATTAATAAAAATAGAAGCTACTGGCAGAAGCAATTAAATCTTGATCCAAGTGGTTTTTAATATCATCCATTATATCCTTCTAGCCCAAACATTGTAATTAGAAATGGGAGACATGGTGCTGAGGTGATTCTCCTCCTTTCGCTGTGGTCAGAAGCAGAGTGATTGAACCTGAAGCCCCTGTTTGTGGAGTGCTGTAGAGAGTAAGGAAGATGATTTAGACAGAAATAGGCCACATCCGTTCCCAAAGTGACAAGAGGAAAAAGATGAATTAAGTCCAAAACAAGAAGGTATAGCAAGTGACTCAGGCAAACACCTGTCATGGTATATGCGGGTGACCTTGGAAGTCAGGTGAAAGGCTACAACCTAGACAATGGTCAGGCAAGCAGCAGCTGAATCTGCATATGGAATGTGAGCATAGCAAATGGCCCAGAAGAGATTTTTATTGTAAGACTACATTAACAGAATCTTGAAAGTGTACATTTCTTCGCCTTTCAATTTGACTGCCCAAGAAACTAGGGAAGGTCCCTTCTGAGATGTTTGGCATGTCAAAATTCCTTCTGTAGACTGAGTTACTACTTGTCTGACAGATGTCTAGTTTGCAGCTTTCCACTTGTGTCCCAAGGTCATTCCCACATACTATTTACATTACATCACCTCCCTAATTCATATCCATATTTGATATTAATTTAAATTAATTAATTAAAACTTCATTAAGTTTAGTTCCAAGATTCTTCTATTTTAGCTCACTGGAAATCTAGGAACCTGAAGATTTGGAAACACAGATTTCCAAGCAGATTATCTATTTCTGGAAGATCCTTCAGATTCTCTGTTCATGTTCCCAGAATGTGCATTTACAAGCTTCATCCTCTCTACTTGTTGGCTACTTTACCTTATTAGAACTGTTTCATAAATTCATAAACTGCCTGATCAATGATGTTCTATATTGACTACTATATTTTAATTGCTTTGTAAGTTTATATAGGCATATAACATGAAAATATAGAAAATGGCTGAGTTAGAACTGTAATATAAAAGAAAACCTTTCACATGTTTCTGTTTACTAGCACTGTACTAGTTTACTAATATCATTACTATTATTACTGAATAACTTCAAGAACTCTGTTTTCTCCTTCAGCGACTTGCAAATTTGCTACAGGGGAGACCAACATTATTTCTCACAAGATTTTTATTCCAATTTTCTTGCTTCATACAAAATGTAGCTAGGGGACACAAATCTTCCTCATTAGTTTGCTCATATTGTCAAGACATTATTGTAGTTTAATACAAACAACATTGCAAACACAATGGAAAACTGTTAAGAAAGAAGACTGAATAGTGCTCCAAATCTGTTAGAAATTATTTGCCTAGAAGCACTTTTGCAAACAAAAGACATGCTCATGTCATTACATGTTTCACTATAGGATACAGGCTGTCTATGCATGGCAAGGTTTTTGTGCCAAAAATTTTCACGAACCAATTAATTCTGGGAAACTCTTTCAAGGGAAAGAGAAAGAAGAAAAGTAGAGATTAAAAAATTAGATCTTTGCTCTGGTGTGTTGTGTATGTGTCCCTCTTAGTAGTGGTGGTGAGAACTCAGACTTATACAATGAGATTCAGTACCTGCTCAATAGGTTACAGCATGTGAACTCAGAAAACTGGGTTGTGTTTAGCAATGTTAATACTAATTGTATGTTGAGCAAACCAGAAACCAGAGGCCATGTTTCTGCCCCCACTCTCATAACTTACATACCCTATGAAAACTGTGTGTGTTGGATGGGAAAGACTACTCCAAACAGCAGCAACACAAGGGGGGGGGGGATAAAAAGTGCGAAGACTTGTAAGATTGGGGTGATATAGTGCTGTGTAATGCTGACTTGTTTATTGAACTGGCCCATTTTCTAAATTCGATCGAGGTAAACAGGCTGAACTCCGAACCAGAAACCAAAACGAAACAAAACGAAACAACTTAAAACTAATGAAGTGTTCTAATGCAGCACCAAGCCCTTCAAAAAGCCCACCGGGCTAAGCGTACCGTATTACGCCAATTCTGAAGAGCGAAGAATTTGTGACAGCATCGCGGGCTGTAATCAAAGACTCCTGAGGCTGAAAGAAAGTACATTCATTGGGTTGGAGGTGGGGCCCTCGCTGCTACAAAAGTGAATGTGAGAGTGTACGGTTCCGGACGGGGAAGTGCGTGTGTGCGCGGTCGATGCACTGTTTGTGGGCCGAAGGTATAGTGTGCGAGTTGGGCTGGCGCGCTTTGGAGAGGGGCTGATGGGGAAGTTGTGCCTCTCGGTCGGGGTGAGGTTGGCACAGGCAGCGCTCCTCAAAGAAGGGAAAGCGGGCGGCGAGCGGCTGCTTGCAGCTGCCTTGACACTTCCACCACTTCTCTATCTGTATGAGGCTGCGACTAGGGGAGCTTCGACTATTCACACCGGCCCCCGCTTTCGGGCGGCAACGGAGGCGGGTCTGGTCGTGGGAGAGAGAGGGAGGGAGGCGGGTCGCGGAGGCAGGAAGGGCTGTGGCTGGAACCAAGGCTGTGGCGGGGGCAGGGCTGTGGGACGGAGCGAGGCCCGGAAAGAAAGGAGGACCCTGACTGCGGAACCGGGCTGGGCCGTGCCGGCCCAGGTAAGAGACCGGAGTTGTGGGTGCAGGAAGTGAAAAGGGCGACGAAAAACATACCCGCGCCGCGGCTGGGACACCATGCCGCTTGCATGTAGTGGAAACCAAATATCCTGCGAAGGAGACGGGTGTATATTTCATTCCCCCCTCCCCTCAATAAATTAAAAGATGTGCATGTCCCTTTATGAGCCGAACCCGAAAAGGCCGTTTAGCTGAATAGTAATATTTTAGTTTAGGCACGTGCAAACCGCTTTATGTTTACCTGGGAACAGTTAACCCGCGCGCGCGGGCGCGCGGCTAACCCGTGTTTCCTCGTATGTGTGTGTCACTAAGATACGTATGGCTGTAATCTTAACGTGATTGGCTCCCTTTGTGTATACGCAAATGGTGGTAAATACTTGCCACTGAGTGACACGTGCAGGGGTTGAACCCCCTAGCGTGTGTTGTGAACAAGATAAGGTTGCCCTGTTTTCTTGTGGAAGTTATTTGAAACGACAGAATTAACGGGGTGCAGTTTTCACAAAGCAGCCGTGTATCTCCGACTCTACACGTAAAGGTCTAACATGCCACCAGGCATGTTAGGAAAAATGTTGTTTATCAAATCGACGAATCACTTTCCAAAGAAGTGACGCTAGTGTAGGGCGATTTGGGGGCAAGGTGCTTTCAGTGTTCCGCCTACAAGCGCACACTCAGCGCCCCCTTTCCGAAGAGAGAAGAAAAAAGCTATTCAGCTCCCAACTGCAAGCAGTGACAAATTCCATGGTGTTTTTTAAAATATATCATGGGTATAATGCTGGATTTGATGGCCCACATGGGCTGCGCTGCCATGTATCGTCTTAGCCGGTTCGTAGAGGCAACCCCATCTATCGGAGCTAAATTGCATAAGCTCAAAACTACTATTTGTTTTTGCATTGAAAATAGGTTGCTATACAACCCTTGCTCAAGATAAATTCTTGGGCTGATGAATTTTTTAAATGTTAAGTTGGCTGAAGATTGCAGAGTTTGTTAGTTTACTTTTTGTTGTCTGTTTTCCCTGTTGAGCTGTAAACAATATGTACGCTAGAGAAAGGGAATGTTTATGTTTCAGTTCCAGAAGCAATAAATCTGCATGCAGATTTCCCCCCCTCTCTCTTCCCCAAGTTGTTATGGTCAGTTTCAATTTCAAAGCAGTGTCATTTGGGCAAGTGCCTTCTCTCCTGCCTGTCTAAGGCTTGGTGTCTTGCCTTTTCTTGTGGCTTTTGATAGTTAAGGTACTAATCCAAGAAGCAGGAATTCTTTCTCAAATTCTCAAAGCCAGCCCTTGAAATTCTCTGCTGCTTGTTGAGTTAAAATAGTTGCACAGATGTTGACATCACTGTATTTCTTTCCACTGTGATTGTGAGAGGATGTGGCCTCTGCTGAACAATGTACAACTTTCTTAATTGTCCCAAAGGTACTTATTCAAGATGAAACTGGACCTTCTGGCTTTTCTTTGAAGATATTTCATTTGTCATCCAAGAAACCTCTTCAAGCTGAAGACATGTCTTGGATAAGAAGTGAAACATCTTCAAAGAAAAATCAGAAAGTGCAGTTGGCTATTGAAAAAGCACATTTGGGACAACTATGACCTGGATGACTGAGAATCTCCATAAACTTTCTTAATTATTTTTATTTATTTATCAAATTTATATGTCACTCATCTCACAATGTGAGACAACACTTAAGCACCTCACACATTTCTTTGTTTTTTTAAAAAAATCTGCTTTTAAAACCTGAACTGAAATAATAATGAAATAAATAATAACTTTCCCAGTGTTCCTGCAACATTTATTTTCACAAAACCACAAGTGAGCATGATTTCATTTGCAATTTTTGTATATTTTTTCCTCATATAGTTTATTTAAAAAGATTTATATACTGCTTTCCAAATAGTATTTACAGACAGTTTATCCTGGTCCACCCAAAGAGGCAAAGTTATCAGATAATAGTTAGATAATTAACTATTTTGAAACCCTAAACAAATAAAATGTATTGTCTGATTCAAAAAGTCCACGTGACAGAAGTTCACTTTCATAAATAGGGCCGCATTCATCTGACTTGCCAAGGTCTTTTGCATGGAAGGAAGCGTACAGATATGATCCATGGAGTTGGCAAAATGGAAGAATCCCAATTCTTTGGGTATGTAGGTCTAAGAACACGTTAGGGCTTATGGAAAGCTCTTACATTTTGAACGGGATAGAAACCAGGGAAAGATAGCCTCATAATCTATTTTATACACTTTGCTAATACAAGCTTAGGTAAAATTTATTGATGCTGTGTTTCTCTTATTTTTTTTATTATTTTCACACTGTAAGGTATATAAGTATTTTAATTTCTATAATTTCATATGATTACTTTGTTTTTTATTTTATCTCCACAGGCAAGTTTTAACAGTGATAAGTAGTATTTGGGGGGGGGGGGCGGACAATTGCTCCCATTTAGTAAATTTGTAGCTATATTCTAAAACAGATTTATCTATGTGTATATCTACATCTATATTTATTTCTGTTTCCATATCTATAGCTATAGAGCTATAGAGCATTTGTCTTTAAATGCCACTAAAGTACTGTGGGAAGTCATCTAGTGTTAATTTCTTTGACTAATTCAGGTCTTATTTATCATTTTGTTTTTAGAAGTTTTCATATTATATTGCACTGCTCTGAGGTAATTTTAGGTGAGAAAAATGTTATTTGGCCAGTCTCTGGCAAGGAAAGGCAAACTTTGAGGTATGGGATATATTTGGAATTATAACTGGTTGTGTTATATAAAATGGTCACCATAGAATACTTGCCTATTAACAAAATGGCTACCAGTCTGAGCATCATCAGTCACAAATCCAATTTATTGGAAATCCAACTAGACCTCCAGGATAATTTCTATCATCCCATTGGCACTTTTGTGAGGTCCAAATACTTTCTGGCACATAAATAAAATGCTAGAGGCTGATGATTTCCTTTGTAGTATGCCAGCTTCCTGTTTATGTTTTCTTAATTATTTTTTAAATGCAACTGGACATTCAGAAAGAAATAAAAATGGAAGCTTTCAAATTCTCTGGACCTCTCACAAAGAGGGAACAAATGAAATATAAAAAATTACACCAGAGGTTCAAGCTATGAAGTGTGAAATTTAAAGTCATTCCCAACATAAAGACTATGGACTGAATATAGGTATAAATTTAGTATCAAATTACACTCAGCATTATGGATAAAAGAAATGGATGTACCTCTCAACACTGAAAATACAAATACTTTCATGCCTAGTATGAAATAGCTTATGTACACAAAAATAGCTTATGTACACACATCTGTCACACATTCAAGATACTGAAACATCTAAAACAATATAATTGACATGTTTTCTTTCTTCCTTTCTGTCTTCTACCTATTACAATAGTCAGTATTTTTGTATTATATCAGTGCTTTATGGCTGAAGATTTTGTATGCAAGTATTGAATGAAAAATAGATTTTCTGTTCCCGTATATTGGCAATTATTGAGGCACATTTCAGTTTACAGCACACTTTGAGCAGCTGTTCTTAGATAAAATTATTCATTGGTAAGTTAATTCCCCCTGCTCTTAAGTGAATAATTTACAAATACTGTCCCCTTATATAAGTGTGTGAATTTTCTTTTTACTTCTTTTGCAAAGTGTCCTTTAGATTTCTAACTGCATTATTTTTATAAGCATAGGTAGTGGCCTTTTAGCTACATAAACTAATTCAATATCAGTCGGTGCAGCATATGTCATCGCTTATCCTTACACTATATCGTCCTATGTAATCAATGTAAATTCCTTAAAAAAGCAGGAAAGTAGAACCCAAAAATTATTTATTTTTTTAAATATAGGATATTTTTTGTAATAGCATATTGTTTTTCCCCTAAAGAATAAACTAAAGAGTATTAGAAAACTAATCCAAGTTTTATATTTATATTTATATGGGGCAGTTTACCTTTTGTCTTAAGTAAAGTAAAAGTACTTTTGATTACTTTTATAATTAGACTTATTTTTAGGAAGAGGAAAATAATTCAACCTTGAGGAAGAGTTCATCAGCATTGCCTTGTCTTGTCCTAAGGGTAGAGAGATGGACTACTCTTGTTCTAAGTGTAGAGGACTACTATGAGAAGAACTGATAGTAGGATAACTTTGTTCATATTTATGCACATGTGATGACCTCGCTCTTTTGAGAAGTCTATAATATTGGGAAATACAGTAATAAGATGTTGAGCAGCAAGTGGGTAGACTCTAGTTTGAGTAGCAATGGGTGCATTGTTGGGATCAGGTTGGGGACTGGAGAAAATTGTATGACTAAGAATTAACACATAATCATATGACATCAATCAATCAAGTCAATTTCAAAAGGAGTGATCTCATTGTAGAAAATCTAAAAAAGTCTAAAAAAATCATTCTGCAGTGAAAAAATGAAATCAAAGAACTTTAGTTATAATTAGAATCTGGCCACAGGTTGTGCACCTATAGTTTTTCAGAGCATTCGTATTTTATTTTTGTATATTTTAATATTCAACAGGGTTGATCAAGAGCTCCAGTCAAGGATAAGAAATCTTGGAGATAGGTGCTCTAAAAATCTATAGCCACCCATATTTCAGTCAATGCTTTTACATAATGTCTGCTTGGGTCATTTATTTTGTCTTCCACTTCCATGATAAAACTGTATAATTTATATAGCATAAAGGAAATAAAAGTTTTCTTGATCAAGACCTAAAGTTCAGAGTATGACACAAAGATAGACATTATTACCTAAGGATTGCTTGGAAATATTGCTCAAATTTGCTTTTTGCCATATTATAAAATTGGCAAATTACTACCATGCAAGTGGAAGTACACAAACACTTCAGTAGGAAGGTAACAGTGTTCAAACCACCTTGATGTAGAGTCATGTTGGCTACATGACCACAGAAATATATTTGGATAAAGTTAGTACACACACACACACACACCCCTTTCCACTCCCTCCTCCAGATTCTACATATT